AGTGAAGGGAACTGTCATTTTCTAACTGTTTCCCCAGGAAATTGTGTTTCTCTAACACTCTCTCAGGTCACTAATCTATTTGTGGGCTCTTACTGAGTGGGCCCAAGACACGTGAAAGGGCAGCCATCTAGCCAACATTGCTGCAACACTGTTGGACAAGGTGAAGTTCATTGCGCTACCTCTGCAAGGATTATTTAACATAGTGTCTATCTTCTAGGATCTCTGCAGGTCGTGCTGCTAAGGCCTCAGGCCCAGAGTAGGCTCCCTTGTCAATTCTGTTCCCCAGAAGCCACACAGCAACCATTTTCACCCCCATACTCAGAGCCGACTAAAATGGGGGTTGCCCACAGAAAGTACACCATGCAGGTTGAGTGGTTATAAAAGTACGCCAATCAACCACACAGCTCCCAGCTTACCAGATTTGTCAGGGGGCCAATCAGCTCTAACTGTTCCCATGGAGAAAAATGCTCATTTATTGGGAGAACAGAAAGTAGAGCTTTGGCTGAAACAACTTTGCCTTCAACAGCAACTTTTTAATCCCTTTGTCTGGTGTATGAAATCAGTTCCCAGAACGCAGGGGATCTTAATAACTGTGGAACCTTTTCCCAGTCTGCAGATCAACTGGCAGATGCCTGTGGTTATTTCCTTACGGATGCTCCTATTATTTAGAGCTGGGAAGTGACCACCTCCTGGAAACCTGCACAAATTTTTACCCAACTTGGTAATTGCACAGTGACCTGTCAGTCCCCAACCCACCAAATTAAATCCAGGAGGAGGCCTTGCCCTTCTTGAACTTTCCCTCATTTGCTGGCTCAGCACATGGCTGGCATCTTTGCTTCCTCTGAGATGCTGCTGCTGTTTCTAGAGGAGTCCAGCATGTACCTCTCCTCCCAGCTGGCTCCTCACTGCCAAGTGGGGTCTGGGAATGTTGACAGGGTTCCATGCAGCTGACCTGATTCAGGATGAGGTCACTTTGAGCTGGCTCTCTCCCCATGCTTGGTGGAGGCCCCCGAGTCAGCTGCAGGACAGGTGCTAAGCAAGGCCAAGGTCTTTTTTTTTTTTTTTTTTTTTTAAAGATGACCGGTTAAAGGGATCTTAACCCTTGACTTGGTGTTGTCAGCACCACGCTCAGCCAGTGAGCAAACCGGCCATCCCTATATAGGATCTGAACCCACAGCCTTGGTGTTATCAGCACCACACTCTCCCGAGTGAGCCACGGGCCAGCCCAAGGCCAAGGTCTTAATTTGGGGTCATTGGGGTGGACACTTCTTCAAGAGGAGAGCCTTGGTGTTATCAGCACCACACTCTCCCGAGTGAGCCACAGGCCAGCCCAAGGCCAAGGTCTTAATTTGGGGTCATTGGGGTGGACACTTCTTCAAGAGGAGCTACTGGGATTGGCAGCCTACAGCAGGGAGAGTGTCATAAATGTAGGTCTTCTTTCAGAGCTTGTCCTTGGCTCTCCCTTCCTCTTTCACCCTCCTAGGGGCCTAGCCAGGCCTGTGGCATTACCGGGATCTCAACGCAGGAAGATTCGTAGCTCCCCTGACTCTCATCTGCTTTCTAAGCTGCAGACCATTCCCCTGCCTGCCAACTATATTGCAAGAGATGGCCCACCTGCATCCTAAATGAGGCCTGGCACAGCAAGATAAACAGGCGTGGGGTCACCTCCTGGCCCCAAGCTGTTAGCCCTCCTGTGAAACAAAAACAAGAACATTCACCTCATGAAGCTGGGTGAGCAGGGAAACATGCCTCCCACACGTAGCACACAGTAGGCACATACCAAGGGCCCTTGGTTATTGGCAGTGCTGTCACCTCACAGAGCTGACTTCATCTTCCCCCACAAAGCCGCTCACCCTCCTCTGCTTCCATCTCAGTAGACAGACAACGGTGTTACCCTCTTAGTCATTCCTGCTGAATTCAGCAGTGCTCTTGCCTTTCTCTCACTGGTCTTTCTTCTTATTGTGGTAAAATATACCTAAAATGTTAACCATTTTTGACTGGCATTGAGTACACTCACAGTGTCGTGCATCAATCCCCACCTTCCATCCACAGAACTTTGTCACCTTCCCCAACTGAAACTCTGCACCCTTTAAACACCAACTCCCATTACCCTCCTCCAGCCCCAGGCATCCACCACTCTACTTTCTGTCCCGATGAATCTGACTGCTGTGGGGACCTCATATAAGTGGAATCACACAGTATTTGTCTTTTTTTTTTTTAAACCTAGCTTAATGTCTTCCACATTCATCCATGTTGCAGCAAGTATCAGAATTTCCTTCTTTTCTTTCTTTTCCTTCCTTCCCTCCTCCCTCCCTCCCTCTCCCTCTCCCTCTCCGTCTCCCTCTCCTTGTTTTGGCAGCTGGCCAGTAAGTCCTTCCTTTTTAGGCTGCGTAATATTCCATTGTATGCATATACCATATTTTGTTTATCCACTCACTGGTCTATTTTTTTAAAGCATTTTTGGATAGCAAATTAATGCACAGAGACTCACATATCACACCAGAGGACACAGTGAAATCTTGTCCCCTCATCTGGGTGGTCCCTGCCCCTGCCCCTGCCCTCCTCTCCATACCCAGCCCTCTGCTTTCCCCCCAGCAGTGTCCTTTAAATGTGCCTTCCCTACTGTTCCCACTACCCAGCCCTGGTCTCTGGCCCAATACCTTCACGTCCTCGCCTGATTCTCCACCCCAGACTCTGCCTCTGGAAGCCTTCCTGCATATGCTGCTACACATGCTACCTAAGGGGAGCCCTCACCCTCACCAGCACCTTGGCCTTCAAGGCTGCCTACCAGCGTGTCCCTGATGATCGTGACAGACACATGGCCCCCGATACCGGGCCTGCTTCCTTTCCAAACTGCCTACACAGAGAGAGACCTTCTTTCTCACAAGAATCAGCACAAATGCCTGTATTAGTCTGTTCCTG